ACGCATGACTGAGCGCGTTGAAAAGCTTACCATGTCTATTCCAGACCAAGCCAAATGTTCGTTGACCGCGATTGTGCGTAACTCGTGGCATTTTTTTGAGATATCGTGCGAACAGAAAATGGGAGAAAGAAAGAAGAATAAGAAAAAAAAGATGTTGATCCTGACAATAACAAGAGGTGATCCGCTAGTGTAGCGGATCACCAATAACATATTAGACACAAATATTTGATATATGTTATTTTTGTAATAATTTGAGGCATGTTGTGGCAAAATGGCTAAGTTGTAGCAAAAATTGAAATTCAAGTTATTGGTATTTGCAGATGCCTAAGTATGTGATCTTCAAAATGAGGGGTCATTCATTGAAATTGGACATTTCAAGCCTAAGTTATTGGAAAGTGAAGTACAGCACTCTTAGATTCAAGATGAACATGATTTTGAGTAATTGCTTTCCAAAGTTATTTGTGCATACATTGTTTAATAGAATTAACTATCTAGATAACATTAAATAAACGATTTGTTGACCACTTCCAGAACTAATACTTCGGGACATGATTAATAAGACATTAAACTAATGATTTATAATGAAAAAGAAATTTGGATTTTTAGGCAGTTTTTGAGCTCCCATATTCTATAGCTCATTTACTCAATACTGACCTGAGCGACAACTTAACTATTTCGCCACGACATACCTCATTTGTTTCTTTAAGCCCTGTCAGACTATCAAATTTTATTTGACAAAAACATACAACATGCCTAAATATGGTCATGATGACATCACAACATGACCATATATAGGCATATCATCATTATATATGGACATACAGCTTTTTTTTTGTCAAAGTAAATTTGATAATCTGGACAGACTTTTATAGATACTGTAAACATCTAGAATATAAATATCAAAACTTTTCAATATTGTTTTTCAAAACTAATAACCACCTGCATATAGGGATCAGCATGGGATTGTCCTTGGTGCCTCTGTATAGGTTCTTCTCCTTCAGTGCCTCTAATACCGCTGTCCTGGCTAAAAATCTCTTCATACCCTGAAGAAATATAAAACAAACTGAAAGTATGATATGTGCAATTTTAGATAATCATATGGTAATGAATTGATTTTTAAAATTCTGTCTACCTATTATCAAATATTTATCTTTGTCACATTGTTATGCAGGGATGTCACCACGCTGGTCAGCGGTGGACGGGCCCGTCTAGCACTCAACATTTCCGACCAGGATTTACAGGCTCCCGACCACCACTATTATTTCAACAGTTTACAAATTGTAACAAAATAATTAGTTTACCTAAAACACAATAGACAAGCTAAATTGATAGATAAAGACAAGAAGAATACAATAAATATTTTCGTGGTTACGTTAATTGTAACAAAATACTGCACTGCTCTGCTATTCATCGCTAACTGAACAGCCTAGTCCCAGTTGAGTCATAGCGAACGTCATGGGCCAGCATGACACGGTTGCTGTACACATTCAAAGGTTAAAGTTGAAATCATGACCATTCAAGTGTTTTATTATGAGAGCATGATCCGGGGCAGGAAGATTATTAAAAATTTACGAAACCTGATTTATGTTTTATTTCTTTACTTTGTTTTCATTTTGTATTTTAAGTTTTTCACTTTTAGTTATAATAGATATATAATGTGTAAATGGACAAAAAATAAATACATGAGTGCACATGAATCAGTGACATACACATTCATCGTGGTAATCGTAAAACATGTGAAATTACGGCAAACAATGCGGCTGGGTACAGTCGGATCGACGCTTTATCGCCGGAATTTGTTCATTATTATTTTTTAATCTAAAACAAAGCATGTCAACTATTGAATTTAATTAGGCCTACAGTAAGTCTCATCTTCATCTGTTTTGTTGCATTCCTCAAATTCTGGCCTAGGCCTACCTGGGCCTAGCCTAAAAAAAAATCGCTGACGCGATTTTATTAGGCTAGCTAGTACACTGCCTCCCGGGAAAACGCGGGATGATCACCGACCAGCACTCCAAAAAACTGGTGACATCCCTGGTTATGTTATCTTGCCTGCACAAATTAGGTTGACTTGCTTTACTAAATTTCCCTTCCAAAATGTTACTGATTTTAACATGTGCCCTGCTAAGTCTATGTTTACATGTTTCTATCAGACTGTATTATTCAACTACAAAAATCATAACAGAAATAATAATACACAATTCATGAGAAAAATGCTTTTAATTTTTTTCTTCAATAATATGTTTATTCAGAATAAATAATGTTTTTATCTCAAATTGTTTGGGATGTTTCCCAAGTATCACTATAGGTTCTGATTCATAAAGGTACCTCGAAATGTTGATCTATAATAATTCCCTAATCCTCAACATATTTTATCAGACTTTTTATTATTTTTTTTTTTACCTTAAACTGTTTTCCGACATCTGTGATATATCCCTCATCATCTATCATTTGAAGGAATGGGAGATTATTCCTCTTACCGCAGTCATAATCATTGGGGTCATGGGCTGGTGTAATCTTAACAGCACCTGTCAAAGAAAATCAATGAATTATATTTAAATTGAGTTATAATTGAAAATTATAATAATATTATAATCATCATAATAAATAATACATTGTCTTACAATTCATTCACACCATTTATTATTGTCATTTTTAAGAAAATGGTGTTTAATATTTAGTTAACACTTTAGGCCAAGAAATCAAGAAACAAGTGGGAGTATTCTGCTGTCATAAAGGATCTACAAATTAATTTTAGCACACACAATGATTGTCATTACATTTTTTGTAATGCACTGGGAACTAGGGGAACAGCAACTGCTTACTGAACAGGCCAAGAAAAGAATAACCAAATACAAATTGAAAGTACTGTAGCCACTGTGTGTGCGCTGAACCTTGGAGATCTCTAGGTAACCGGTTCAATTCCCATCACTGCTCTCCATGTGTTTCAGCTGGAGGGCTGAAATCCAAGTTACTATAGCATACCATCTTTCGGATGAGACGTCTAAGTCGTTGGTCCTGTGTGAAATATGGCCCATGCGAATGCAGTACATTCTTCAAAAAATAGTAGGAAATTGTCTCCCGTTGTACTGCCCAATCCACCACCCACTAAGTCTTCTGACTTGGTGGGATATTCTTGTGTGATTCACTCCAAAAATATTCCTACTCCTACTACTCCTCCTTATAAATCAAGTAAAATAGGTCTTAAGTACTAAAAGCCTAACCTACCTGTGCCAAAGTTCATGTCAACAAAGTCATCAGCAATGATTGGGATTGGTTCGTTGCGGAATGGATGGATGACGTTCTTTCCTTGGAGTTGCTTGTATCGTTGATCCTCCGGGTGAACAGCAACAGCTGTGTCACCAAGCATTGTCTCGATACGTGTCGTAGCGACAACAATCTCTTCACCTGGGAAAAAAAAAAAATCTCTCTTTATTGTTCATTTGTGGTTAAGAGACGTTCTTGTTAAAACCTTAGGACAATCCCAGAACAATGCTCAGGATTGTAATTGTAATGTGAACAATGCTGGTTAATGGAAGAACTTTGTACACTCGATCTGAAATTGATTTTTTTTGTTTTCAAATTGATGAAGAAAAACCAGAAAAATAAAGGTTGGGTTAACATACATCACTGCAATTCTTTCTTCTTTTTCATTATTTTAAATTACAGAACTTAAAGATTGCTGCCCCTCATTTTCCAGTTTCAGTTTCCATCCACCTACATTTTATGTATTCCAACTGGACATTTTAATATACAATCATTCCAGTTACACTTTTTACCAATATGGAGTGTATTTATGCAAAGATTTTAAATTAATATCCATGAAAATAATCAATAAATTATAATATACAATAGTATCAAATTAAATAAAACTACAAAATTCAGTATAAAAATTTTGAAATGTAGATGTATAATATTATATAAAACATTTTATAAACAAGTAATTAAGTTCATTTTTGCAATCTTTGGCATTACAACTTGTTTTGTTTTGCTTGTATATATTTCATATAACTGTAGCAAATTATTTATTTATAATTTATTGCTCTAACTTCATCTGTATACACACACCTGAGTTTTCCACCTTGTATGCAAATTCAATTAGAACACCAAACTCAATTTTTTCTTCATATCCAGGGACAAATAGCAAGGTTCTGCCGGGAAGTTCACGTTTCTCGACCTAAAAACAAGACACAAACACTTGATGAATACCTTACAATAATTAACTATCATGTCATTATCACATTCAATCACCATAATCTCTTTACCATCCAACCTAAATTAACATCATTTTCACCAACCTCTATATCTGATATAGCCGACTTCAGAGTGCAGGACCAGTTAATAAGACGGTTGCTACGGTAAATCGTACCATCAGCATGCATACGGACAAATGCCTCGGACACAGCACGAGAAAGCTTTGGATCCATCGTAAAGCACTCTCTATCCCAGTCACATGAAGAACCGATCTTACGTAGTTGATCATAAATTCGGCCACCCTTTCTACAGACAAATATAGAAATAAGATGATGGACTATAATCATTACTCGAAGAAAAGTAAATGCATGTGAAGTTTATTCAACGGAGGCATTTATCCCAAATGAGGCTCTTGAGCGGGAATTTATTCGAAGGAGAGGGTGGGGGGAGGAAGCATTTATTTAGAGCAGGGCATTTATTCGAATAAATACGGTATATCAATTTTTGACTAACATATTATGATGTACAATCTTAAATTCATTTTTTATTTAATAAATAATAAATATAGTTATATCGCTTACTCATTTTTCCATTTCCAAGCTTCCTCAAGAAATTTCTCTCTTCCTATATCATGCCTGGTAAGTCTTTTTTCCCGCCACAGTCTCTTCTCAACCACAACTTGAGTGGCGATCCCTGCATGATCACATCCTGGGTTCCACAATGCAACTTTTCCTTTCATACGATTCCTGAATGCAATAAATAATTATTAACATCACTAGTTGCATCAAATTTTAAAATATGAGAGTTGAAAGCTTGTAAATTCAATTGCAGATATTACTGTTGAAATAATGAATAACTGACCAGTTGGGAGGATGGTTAATCATTAACAATGTTAATGTTAATTTTGCTATATTGATGTGGACAGTGTTTACATCAGGAAAATTTTGTAGGAGTGATGTTTTACTCTACCTAAATTGTTATCATACCGAACAATCAGTATGTTCCCAAATACCTCAGGATTCGGGTGGGAATCGTGTCCACAATCTCCAGATACCTAGCCTGGTGCTATAACAGCTAGACTAACATTTTTGGGAATGTACTAAGTATTCAGTACAATAACATGTTAGGTAGGGTAAAACATCACTCCTATAATTTTTTCTATCATTATTGAATATAACCACTTCCAGTTAGGAAATATTCAGTCTTCACTTTTGTTCTGTTGGATGAAAATATTTCAGCACTTCAGTCAATTACCAAGATTATTTTAGTAACACACTATCTTAATGAAAATATCTTCTTTTGGTCTTTTTTGTCTTTGTGTTTCTAGTCTCTTACCGTTTTGGGCCCCATTGGTATTAACTCTTAAAACTTTATAGGCGTTCCTGGCAGCTTTTCATCCTTTTTTTCTGCCTTCTCTTTTTCTCACAATTTTTATTTGATCTCTTTCTTTCACCTTTTTAATGTTTTAACCTGGTGCTTTAAAATTTTTTTCTTTTGAATTATATTTTCTTGTTGTTCTTCAATGCCAAATAAAGTTAAGTTATAAGTTGGCGGCCAAAAAGGAACCGGTCAGAAAATTTTTGACTGGCTCAATGCTAATGAACACTTATCTGAACTCACCATCTTGTTAAGGCATCTTCAATAGCATTAGTGAGAGCATGTCCCAAATGGAGGCTACCTGTGACATTAGGGGGTGGTATACAGATCATAAATATATCATTGGGATCTACATTTTCCAAGCTATCTCTCTGTAAAGAAAAAAAAAATACAGATATTATTAATTACACACACTACCAAATTAGATAAAAGAACTGATTATTAATTTGATTTTTAAACAATTGCAAAAAAAATTTGTTGCCTAAGAACCTCTTTACAATCCCGTATTAACGCAAACAAGTGCACCATTTGAATAAGCGCCTCTCTCAAATAAGCGCACGTGAAAATTGTCTTGAGTGCACCGTTTGAATAAGCGCCCTCAATATCTTGTGATTGATTTTTTTCAGCAAACGATAATCTAACTAATCACTTTGGTTGCCATGATTTGAGCTGCGGAGTGGATTCACATTTTCTTCTTAATCAATGTCAATTTCAAAATGAGTAAATTTTATCCTGGAAAGATGAGAGCTCCCTGCACAGTAACTTTCCAACTTTCCTCTTCTTACATTTGTCTACTTTTTCTTTTCTTTTCCCTACAATTTGTACTGTTAACAAGTTTTCATGTGAGCTTGCAAGAAGCCCTGCAGTAATCCTGCTATTCTCAATTGGCCAATGGCCAACAAGCTTGAACTTGAACAGGATAGACCACCACCAACACCTCTAATTTCATCTGCTGTTGAAACTCACAGAATTCTTGGCACAAGCCATGCTCTCTGGACGATTATCTTTTATGCAGCAGAACCATTCATAATCTTTGGATTTCCTATAATTGTTTTCATTCAAAAATCTACATTGAATTTTCCAAGTTCCCAGAAGAACCCTTAAACTTTCATATATTTCCATAAGCGCCCCCTCAATTCCACTCTGTTTTCATAAGTAACCCGTTTGAATAAGCGCCCTGTTTAAATAAGCACCCCTCAAAAATGGCAAAAAATATTTTAAGTACAATATATAAATTTATTATATAAAATTCTTAACTCTTACTACTAAACCATTGTACTTAACTGTTCTTTCCACACCATAATATTAATAACTTCATGGTGAATATTTTGTTGAATGTACATGAAAAACCATGACTTAGTAAAGGCTGGAAAAAGTGGAAAACCATTCATGATGAAGGAAAACTTTATAAAAGAGCTTGGAAATCTGGCAATATAATAGTAAATCATACTTGCTAAACTTACACCATATTCTGGTTTAAAGAAACCCATCTTCTCCCACCACTCATACCATGCAGCCTCAACATACACAGGACTATATGCATCGGGCAGCTGACAAGTGGTATCTACAACAAAACAGTATAGCAATAAAAATTAATAAAGTTAACCTAACAATATATAAAACAAACTATAAATTAATAATTTTAACAATAATAAAAAAATAATTAACAATAAGACAGAGATAAGACATTTTTCCTGTTTGATTGACAGTGAGAGAAGAAAATAACAATGCAATGTGGTTTTCAATCCTTTTCGTTTTAAATTTAAACACAAATAAGATAGCATTTAGTGGTTCCACCATGGACCTTATTAATAGGTCCATGGTTCCACAATAAATATGTCTTACAAGCTCCAGGTTGTACCTTAGTGTTATGTAAATTTAGAAGTACATGTACTGGTCTTTATTTGTTGACCTAACTCTTAAATAAAAGGTTGAGTTGTAACATCCTCCAGCATCACACAGGTTAATAAAATTCAGTTTGTGTTTTTTGTTATAAAAATAATATTTTCAATATGGTAAAAACAGACTGTATTTAATGGAACAATTGTGTGAAATACTCTCAAATGTTCAATGGGCCTTCCTGTAAGCCCTGCCCCTTGGATATAGTTGCCAAGGTCCCAAAAAAGATAGCATAAAATCTGATTGGTCAGTTGTTCGGTTTGATTGGCACTCCAGAAAGATCCATTGTCCAATAAAAAAGGCAAAGGTTTGCTTAGTGAATTTCAATAGAGTCCAGGATATGCTGTACCTTTCTTTTCTCCAGATGGAGTTTTCACATCATAAGTTGTCACAGCTACATCTTTTTTCTCCTTCTTTTTCTTCTCTTTACCCTGCAAACAGATTTAAAACACATGATGTTAATGTTATATCAGCATTAGACGAGACTTTTTTTATTCCTTGTAGCGCATACTTATTTTTTTAAAGATAATCAAAAGAGGGCAGAATAAAAATAAAATTTTGTTTTCTTATTTAGCAAATAGTTTTGTCAAAATCATCCAGATGGAGGATAAAATAAAAATATAATTTTATTGGTGAATGTAAAACAGGATGGATAATAATTTATATAATTAGGGAGAAATATACATATCTTATTTTTGGAGATTTCAAGGCAGCGGAGGGCATAATAAAAATAAAGAAAAACTTTTATTTTTTTCTTAAATTTTCACTTTTTGTGGCAGTTGTTGCGCTAATTGGCCAAAAATAAAAATGTAATTTTATTCGAAATCATCAATATTTGCAGTCGGCAAGTTTGCTAAACAAGGTATAAAAACTATCTCATTTGTAATTATTGTTTTTAATCTGAAATATTTTCCAGCCAATTAGTAGTGGGTTTTCTATCCTGAGTTGGATACTGGGGTTAGTTTAACAGAAATAAATGTGTTTTAGCCTTTTAGCTAGCTGAAACACAAGGAGAGGAGCAGATGGAACTAATTGCATGGTACCGAAGCATCTCCACGCCCACGGTTCACTGTACAGTCTCTTTTTTTTGTTCTGCACCCTGACAGTTGTTGCCACTTTACCCACCCCGGGTTATCCTAGTTCAGCTTCCATAATATTTTAACTTCAGATAGCAGCTGCAAAGGGATTATCTCTATCATATCAAGACAAGTGGCAACCACCAACATTTTAATCATGCCATGGTCAAGTTATTAAACATTAATTAACCTAGTAGTAGTACGGCTTGAATACTAACTTCAGAAGACTCTTTCATGGCATCCTGTTTCTGTTTCTTTTCATTGAATTTCTTCATCTTTTCTTCTTTTGCTTTTTGCTTCGCCTCCTTTTTTAGCTGGGCTGCAGATTTGGCTTCGTTGGCACCGGCCACCGCCCCGGTATCCCCAGCAGCTGGCTCCGTATTTACATTATCCTTGCTACTGCCACTGGACATTGTGAACATATGTGTCACAACTAGTACCAAACTATAATTGCAAACGATTCCTGAAGTTAGTGTTTAAAACACAACGAAATAATAGAAAACAGACTGTTCAAAAACAATCACAAAAAGGCCTTGCTTTGTTTACTGCACAGCAGTAAGTAGGAACATGAGCAGCATAATAAGCACGACGAGATCGACGATTGCATCAGTGTGGCCACACTCACAATTTTTGATATACCCAATGACTGGGTCGAAATTACCCAAGATTCAGCAAAAATTGCCCAAAATTACCACAGCTTCCTGAAAACGCATTAAAATTTGAAAAAAAAAACCCGTGTTTTTCGTATGTGTAGTTTCCCTTTTAGTTCAATTTATAAACCATTTTTTATTCTAATTGTTTGTGTTAATTATTAAAATTAATATTCATGAGGTGATAATACAGATAGAAAAATACGCCCTCAGTTGCCCAGTGTTATCAGTAGATCAGTGATCAAGTTTTATTATGTAATGCATTAATTAGGTAAGATCAATGGCAACGCAAATCACAAATAAACAATTCTGAACTCATGTTTATAGCAATTAACAGTCAATTAACAATGTTATGTGCACTTCGTTGAGTTTTGCTTACTTGAATGGACTGACATATACTTTGTTACTTCTTAATTCTTCCTCTTTGACAAAAATATTTAATTTTCTTAGTAAAAATAAAATACCCAAGGATTTGAACGGAATACCCAAGTACCCAGAACCAAGTCAAAATACCCAAGATCTTGGGTAAATACCCAAGCAGTGGTCACACTGGATCACTGGATTGCATATATTTTTTAGCCTTTGAGAATGTTCTTCAATTAAAAAAAATTTTAAAAAGCAAATTAAAAACTAAATATTATTATAATATATTAATGATATTTATTTGATAATAAGGAGTTATTTATATATATTTTAAATAAAGATCTATAGGTACTATTAGAATATTTATTTAATTTTAAAAATACAACATTTTGTATGAGGATAAATATGGCGGCCCCCATGAAGTTCCCACCGGCTTTAGCAATGACTTTTTGATTCCACTTTTGTTTGTTATTTTCATGGAAGACCTGATTGAATTTTGAAGCATGATAAAACTTAAGATATTCATAAGTCATATATAGCGTCAGCTGCATGTAATTTTATTCATTTTTGTAAATTACGCCTGTGAGTAATTTATGCCTAGGCCAGGGCCTTGGGCCGCGTAGGGCCCTTGCCTAGCCTAGGCCTAGGACACTGGCCTAGGCCTAGATTAGGAATAGGGTGGTTAGGCAATGCCTAAGTTAAACTAAACAAGAAGAGGCATTGGTCTAGGCTACGCTACTGGTCTAACGAATCATTACTAACAGGCTACCGCCGCTATAGAATTAATATTAGCTATCTAGGATAAGGCCAAGTCTTAATACTTCATTTCATTTTATTCAGGAATTAAAATCACATACTCTTTGGAAACCAAATAAAAAAACAAAGAACAGATAGGTTGAATGATTACGATTATGATGAGACATCATTCTATAAGTTAACCCAAGATAGTTTTAAAATGTAAGAAACTTATTTCCATTGGGCACCTATAAACAAATTTTACCATTTAAAATGAACATAAAACAATTAACAATAATAATGCATAAGTTGATTAAATTGTAAAACAATTAAGACACTTAAAAAAATGATATAGTAAAAAAGATTGCACATTCTTATTTCAAACATTTCATTTAATTAAACTTGTAATTATTTACCCAAATTATTATTATTGTTATTAAAATGATGTTAAGAATGAAGTTTTAATATTGTTAAGACATTATTATTATTGCTATTACAGTTAAACGTGCCAAAGTCGACCTTGCCTAACTCGAATAATTTCTAAGTCGAACTTATACATGCCAAACTGTTGTGTTTTTCATAAATTAACAATCTGTAAGTCAAATTTTATTCAAGTTAAACAATTTTTCAGTGGCATTTTGGATTTGACTTAGACAAGTTCAACTGTATTTCTAAAATTATTATATTGCACTTTGGAATTATAGTTATCATTATTAAAATGAAAGTTCAAAATTTAGAAAGTTGTGAAGATATTAAAATTATTGAATTAAAGGAAAGATTCAGATTCAGCCTCAATAAAAAGTAATATTAGGATAGTAGTGGTCTCAGGGTTTGATATTTTATAGATGACAAATTTTATTATTTAAACTATATTATGTTACACATTATTTATGTTATTTAAATGGTTATAATGCAAACTAGGCCTATATTTTGATTATAAATAAATGATAATACATTCTTTTTATATACTAGGCTACATTATATGTAATTAATAGTTGGTGTGAAAGCCACCAGAAGTTGCAATACCCAGTGCAGCTCAACATGCCTAGATCAAATGCAAGAAATTTGAATTAAGTCTTATTTTTTTTCTGTGCATATTATCAATTACTTAGTTTCCTAATGAGGCCTAAAAAAATTGTTTGTTTGTCTTCCAGCACCCGATCGGAGTCATCATTGCACAAGTTGAATAACATGTGGGCCTACACTTGATTAAGTGCTGTTTTGATTATGTTACTGTTTTTACTTTGATTTATTTTTTTTGTATGATTTTCTTTACATTCAATTTTCTTGGCAGAAATTCACAATGCAATGTCTCTTCCAACCAAGGCGGATCCTTTTCAATCTGACACCTCTAGCTACAGTCAGAATATCAAAGAACCAGGTTGGAAATATATATTTCAACTTTTGGTTTAAGAGAAAAAATTCATTTTCATATTCACATCAATTTTCAAATGGGTCTAGAGGAGCAGCTGGCAAGGCAGAGGCTAGGTTAAAGAAACTGAAAAGAAAACTTGAAAACCAAGAAAAAATTGTATCAAGTGATGGAAAAGTATGAACATTTATGAACATTTTATTCAATTGAATTATTATTAAACTATATAAGAGTTTTATTAAATATATAACAGATCTCCCTCCAATTACAAACCACTACTGGGACCAGGGTTTAGTGGTCTTTAAAAAGTATTGTCTCTAATTAGAATAAAAGACATTTGTTAATTTGGGACCACGCACATATCGGAGAACCAGGTAATTCTTAATACTGCATGTTTACACAGATGACGCTTGCATCGCACTGCAGTTACGTATATTTGTGGGAAACGTGTATTTTTGACCTCATTTTGATTGGTCACTTGAAAGTTTAATTGACAGTCTGGAGAGATCTATGGGAGGTGGTCTTTAATGAGAGGGAGACCGTATTTTCTAATATTTACTCTTTTTAATGTTTATAATGTCTATATCTATTTTACAACAGCTTTAATATCTATACTGACAGTGTGATTCTTGCTATAGTGAGCCTTGTGTTTACGGTACATAGTTTTAAGAGCATAACATTAATTCAGTGCATTATTTTTATTCAAATGCAATGAAAACAATGTGCAAGTACTGTAATTTGTTTTCAATTTTTTAGAAAATTTCATCAGCTGACAAAAGTTCCTTGAAGTGGAATGAAAAGGAAGTTGTGAAATATGAATTGCCCACCAAACCAGGATATAAAAAAGGTCTTATTAATAATGTATTCACTATGAATTATATAAATATCATACTGTATATACTATAATTTTAGTAAAGTATTAGAATTAATTTTTATAATTATTTTACATTAAGTAAAATTTAATCCAGGGTCCAGAGGAAGAAAAATCCTAATGTGTTGTAAAAATAATTTGTTTAAGAACCTGAATGGATGTTTGGCAAAAAAAAAATTGGAAATGGTAATTAAAATACAGATTTTTTATTAGTTAACATCTAATATTGTTTTTATGTATATTATTTCTAAGAATTCCTAAATATATTGTAACTACATACTGTGAACTCAAACTGACAAATTTAATTTGTTTTCCTCTAATTCAAGATACCTCCAATTAGAGATAACCTCCAATTAGAAATCACTTTTCTGTGATCTCAAATGAACAAATGTTTTCTATTTGTATGTAGTATTAGAGACCAAAGTTACTGAAGACCATGGGAGTCTCAGTCCCAGTAGTGGTCTTTAATGAGAGGGAGACCTGTAACCTCTTTAATTCCAATATTCCTGATTTTTTATTTCAGACATATCCCAGCCACTTCCAAAGGGATATAGTCCATCGTATGTTGAAGCTGCTTGGTATGAATGGTGGGAGAAAATGGGATTTTTTGAGCCTCAGGAGAAGGTAGGAAAGTCAATCTTTTTAAACAAGTGTTCCCTTTTTTGCATTTGTGGACACTCAAGACATGTTAAATGTCTTCACAGACCCTTCCTCACCCAAGTCAAAATTTACTCACAGTTTATGTTCTACCAGTTGGATGTTTATTGATAAAAAATTATTTGACACATAAGTACATCAAGACAAGATGTGGGTGGGGGGCCTAAGTAAACTTATCCTATGACATTCAGTCAGAGAATGGGCACTCCATCCAATATGTCATTAAAAAGTTTTAAAACTGTACAAAGTATGTATAGATATCACAGTAAATTATTTTTACAATAAATACATAAAGAAAATAAATAAATAAAAAATAAATAAAATAAATAAATAAATATAAGAAAAACACAGGAAAAATATTTAAAATAGGAGACAATTTATTACATAAAATATTCATGTTGAAATTTAAAAATTGAAAAAAATTCAACAATTCAAACTAGCCTATCATCTATTAGGATGCACTGAAATGTTGCTTTTTTTTCTTATTAACTGCAATTTGATTGTATTTTTAAAAACTCTTATATACCTTTTTTGAGCATTTTGTATCCTTTGGGAAACAGCCCTATATAAATGTCTATATTTTTCAGAAAAATGTTACAGTGTTATAGAAATTGATACGAACATGGGTTTAAACTGATTCTGTATTTCTGAGAGAGCTTTTATAGTGTTTCTAACTGCCATTTCATTTACAATAATTAGTCATCACCTGGAACCAAACCATTTGTTATGTGCTTACCCCCTCCCAATGTCACCGGAAACCTTCATCTTGGGCACACTTTGACTGTGGCGATAGAAGACAGTATCGTCAGATGGTAAGTAGAAGAGGAACTTACATATTCTGATTTACCTTGATTTTAATTACATATTCAAATCATAGTTGATTTAATTGTTTATATTTAAGTTGATGATAGAGTGAATTGGACAGTACACCATAACAAAATCCTCCATTATATTTATAGTAGTGTTCAAAGCATTTTTGAGCACCAGTGATTATACGCCAAATTCTGTAGTAAAGTAATCCTGTAGATCCTTTGGGTAGAAACAGCATTTCTCCGACAGGTAGTCCATCGTCACATCTGCCTCACCATGTTTGGGGCTGAGGGAAAAAAAATTATTACGGCTAGATTTCCAAAAATGGCACTCTTAGACCCAGCAAATGCACAGCAAGGGATGAAACACTAAATTTGAAGTTGGAAACTAACTGTTTTTCACTCTGCCATCCGCTTCTTCTAAGCTTTGTGTTGTATCAAAATAATTGGTTATTGGTTAGCCAGGCACATAGTTGTCAGATAAAGGAGATCATGCAATGTGTATTAATTTGAATAACGATTGGAACAGACTGCCAGCTATCAGCAGCTGAGAGCAGTGTCGAGCCAAGCACTCCAACAGAGTGGAGCTAGATTCATCAGCTACACATTGACCAGAAAAGTGTGTGCCAGGCTTTTGAAACAGTAAATAGTCTTACCAATGCAAGTAAAGGTTGAATTGGCTAATTTTGATCATTAACACAATTTATAATAATGATTTTTTTAATTATAATAATATACCATATTCATTGTTCTGTACAATTGTTCCTTTGCTTTTATATGATATTTTCTGTGTAGGATTAAGTCTAGCTGATGCTTTATGGCAGTATTTGCTCAGTTGAAGTTTTCTTTTAAGGAACCGAATGTGCGGCAGAGAAACACTATGGTTGCCAGGATGTGATCATGCTGGGATTGCGACACAAGTTGTCGTTGAGAAGCAGTTGATGTCTGACACAGGTCAAAGTCGACATGACCTAGGGCGTGAGAAATTTGTTGAGGAAGTCTGGAAATGGAAGAACCAGTAAGTAAGACTTAATTTAATTTATTTTATTTGCATCCAACAGCAAGTAATTAGCAAATTACATGATGGATGATACGTAAACTAAGTCACCCTATGAGACTAAAGCCTGGCCGATGTGACTCTATAAAGGATGCAACACGATGACAAGCGCGACTGATCGTTTTTAAGGACGATCAGTTCAGACTGCCACCGACACTCAGCAGAAGGCGTTGCGTCGTCTATCGCTCACAGAGAGCGGAGTTGGATTCGTTGTACGACGCAATGAGTGCCCAGCTTTAGAGAATAGAGTTGTCTTTAGTCATTTGAAAAAGTCCTGCTGTGACCGTAATTGAACCAAGGACCCTGGGATTTGAAAGCAAGCACCTTATCCATTATTCTGTACTACTCTGCTTCAGTTAAAATGTATATGAAGATCTGCCAACATCGCATAAAGATCTACATGTAACATCATGCTAAATATTTCCTAAAGAATTTAATGGCCAAGGTTAGTTGACATGAAAGAATGTTTTAATATGATAATATTATATTAATTTCTTCTTTATCGTGATAAGTTCGATAGAATTTTTGACCTTCAGATCTCAATACAAATACGAAATAAAATAACAATATACTATAAAATAGAAATTTAAAAAAGAAAAAAGCAAAAACAATTATATTTAAAGTACAATACCAAAATAACTGGATTGAAATCTAAGAGAAAACAATGCAATAATTAATATAGATTTATTTTTTAATAGTTTAAGGCAAAGAAATCAACATCTAAGTTATAATTAATAATAAAGTACTATATAAAAATTACTAGATTTAAATCTTTAAAAAAAAAAAGAAGAAAGAATTAATATATAAATAATAAATAATATAGGTTTACTGTTTAAATTTCTAATGTAGAAAAGGAGGAGAAATATACAAACAGTTGAAGCGACTTGGAGCATCTTTGGACTGGACACGAGAACGATTCACAATGGACGAGGTAAAATGCAGCTATGTATGTACCTTTGTGTGCTCATGCATGATAAACAAAAGGTTTGACGAAACTCATCCTTAATGTTTAAGGGAAAGATATACCAGTTTAATTAATTTCAAAACTGTTATATTAAACCCAGTTACCCAATATCCCAGTTCCGAAATTACAAATACTGTTCTAATTTTTTCCTGATTATTATGCTTAGCATGTTACTAATATAAAATATTTATTTCCTTTATTACCCATATATTACTCATCATAGTATCAACCTAATCCTCTGCATGACTATTGCCAGCCACTTTATGGACCAATGCACATGTACATGCCACAGGCATGCATGGGATTCATATTTTTAAATAAAATTCTAATTATTGTTTTTCTTCAAATTTGTATAGCGAGAATGCTAATTTTCCATACATGTTACATTATATTTGGACAATAAGGAGTTTATTTGATGTTTGATCCGTCAGGTTTTTTCTCGAGCTGTGACTGAGGCATTTATCCGTCTCCATGATGATGGCATCATATACCGTAGCAACCGTCTTGTCAACTGGTCTTGTGCTTTGAAGTCTGCCATTTCTGATATTGAGGTAAGTGATGTGGACAAATAATGTAGATGTTCTGGAGAAAGAATGACATTGAAAGCATACTGAAAATGGTAATAATGGTATTAGCTTTGATGATTATGATGATGATTATGCTTGGATTAGTGGTTGATAAATTGACCTGAAGATGCTTCTTGTTTTGGGTCATAGCAGCTTTCATTGGGTGCTTCCAAATGACCTTGTCAGCAGCCATATGTTGGTAGCTTAGAAGAATCACCTCATGCAAGAAGGTCATGGAGAGCAATTCTTATTTGTAGCTCTGATTATTATGACTACTTATAAAGTACTGGAGTTTATTTACTTTGTGAACATACACTTTAAGATCGGTGGCACTCCTGAGTAGTGCGTTCAACTTAAATACAATACAATGAGTCACTTAATTACTGTACACTTAATACTAATTAAACATAATTAATACAAATTTTAAAATAAATAAAACTGAGAAATTAGGTAATGAACTTAAAATTAAATAATACAATAATACATTTCTGTACAGTTTGCAGAGACTATGTGATCAAGTAGGTACAAATGAGCACATAAGGAGTTGTTTGTGGAGGATGGTTGCTTAGTGTTTTCCTACCAAGATGTTAATTGCCATGTTGCTGATTTAAGAATTTTTTTTTTATTATAATGATGCTGAAACTTTTTATTATTATGTTAAATTTATATAATACATTTATATATAGGTTGATCAAGTATCTCTAAGTGGTAGGACACATTTGTCTGTCCCAGGTTATGAAGATAAGGTATTATTTGGATGCCTGGAAGAATTTGCATACCCTTTGCATAACTCAGGTTGGTTTGAGCATTTTTCATTATTTCTGGTTATATGTGTAGTGGAGTCGGAATCTACACAGAACTTTTTGGTTTGTCCGACTCAAAAAAGAAAGATGTAATTTATAAGTTGGTATGATAAATAGGGGCCTTTGCTTTCTCTTTCTCCACCCCTCCCCAGAACCTCCACTGTAGAATTATTTGTTGATCAGTTAATTGCCCATACTTCTGTAGGAAACTATGATACACTAGCGGAAGAAAAGATTTTAAAAAATTGTTTAATCATTTGCTGTATCTTGATTCAGTTATCAGTCTAAAAATGAATCTAATAAGTATCTTGCATCATTTAAGGAGGTGAGATAGTCGTTGCAACAACTAGAATCGAAACGATGCTCGGCGACACTGCTATTGCCGTCAATCCTGATGATCCAAGATATGCCCATATGGTAGGGGGCGCTGCAGTACATCCGTTTACAGGACAGCGGCTTCCAATTATATCTGATGTTTCCGTAGATAAAGACTTTGGTACAGGTAATAACTTTAATATTTCATTTGTTCACATCAGGCCCATGTGTCAGTCTGTCAGTTAAACTCTCTAAGTAAACATATGTTTTTTACATCTGGTTCTCTGAATATATAGTTTAAGAATTAAAATTAAAATCTGTATCTGTACTGATGCAGATGGAGCGAGTACATTGATTTGGGCTTTCGCCTATTCTCTCATCCTGGGTAATTGTTCTTTTATGCCGAATATATATTATTATTATTATTATTATTAGGTGCAGTGAAGATCACACCAGGTCATGATCACAATGATTATGAAATTGGACAAAGACATGACTTAGCAACCATAACAGTTATTGATGAAGATGGCAACATGGCCAACACTGCAGCTCAGTTTCAAGTATATATATAGATATTTGATTTGCTCTCTAAAATTTTATACTTTCAAAAATTCATTATATTCAATTGTTTTACTGTTTATGTTCATTTTGATACTTTTTAAATTTTTTACAATTTTTTCTATTGTTTTCACATATTTGTTTTTTGATGCATAAATATTTGTTTAAAAATAAATGGTGAGACAAATCTTGAAAATTAAATAAATGAAATTTGCTTACTTAACATTTAATTACTGCCTATAATAATTAGTTATGTACTGTACTAATTATTTTTTTTTTATAGATAAACTGATTACAATGAATTTGCTATTTCAGGGTATGAAGAGATTTTTAGCCAGGACAGCAGTCTTAGAGGCACTGAAGGAGAAGAACTTATACAGAGGCACCAAGGACAACCCTATGGTGGTCCCTATATGCAGGTGAGTTGCATAACTATTTGCACAATAAAAGGAATACAATCCAGAATAGCTTTTTGTTTTTAATTTATTTTTTAACCAGAGAGTATTTATAAAAACAAATGTACAATTAAAGCATTTTTTTCTTAACCCTTTGAACCCTGCATTATTTACATCTTCCTCACCCTGAGTTATTTGGACAAAATATGCTTATTTTTTATTACAATCATCACCACCACCTAGGCCCTGTACCGCTACCATAGCCATCCATCAACCCAATGTACAACTATCATCACTACCACTGTCTGCTGGCACTAGCACTATCGTGATCCGCCTGGCCAAGGGCTAGAAACTACACTGTTTACCTCACTGTCACTTTCCAAATCACTTCCTGGATAATCGTCATCATCAATATACTCTTGGGAGTCATAAAGTATCAATCGTTAAGCATGTTGGCATTTATTGTCAAATTATTTAATATAAATTTGTTTTTTCTAAAAAATCATCACGTACGAGGCTGTCAGAAAGATTTGGGAATGATGATGTCACAAAATTACGTCACATTACTCATACTGGTCAGGTGATTATCCCGAATAACGTCACCTGACCCGCAAAGCCGGAATACCGGCCTTTAGGGTTATTGCAGCGTAAGCGCGCGGACGTTTTTCCGGCCTTTAGGGTTCAAAAGGTTAAGGTTGTTCACTTAGTAATACTGCACATGTTCATACCATATTTAATTTAATTAAAATTACAACAATAAAGCAAATTCATGGCAAATGAAAGTGTAATTTTTTTAAATTGCATTAATATTCAGAATGACCATAGTACTGTTCATTGAATCCCATACATCCCATCTTTCCATGTGCTTTTACTTCCAATGGTGGTGAGATATATTAAAGCATATACACTTAACTTATTTATGCTTTTGATTTTTCAGTCGTTCTAAAGACATTGTTGAGCCTCTTCTCAAGTCTCAGTGGTTTGTGGACTGCACTGAGATGGCTGCTGCTGCCGTGCAAGCAGTTGAGGATGGAGATTTGAAGATAATCCCTGACATGCACATAAAAACCTGGAATCAGTGGTTGAAAAACAGCAGGTGAAGATCTCTAAAATATTCATCAAAAACTTTATTTAGTTTGTTTGATTTAAACTTTGAGATTAGAGTTACGGTATTCAAAATTGAGTTTTAAAAGAAAAAAATAGAGTAAATTCATAAGATTGAAAGCAATGAACATACATTTTCAAAGCCACATTGATCAGAATATAAGGTAAATATTTGTGTATACTTTTGTGTGGTTGGTTTTCAGAGACTGGTGTTTATCAAGACAACTTTGGTGGGGTCATCGTATCCCAGCATACTTTGTGACGATTGATAATGATGATGCATCAGGAAAGGTATCGATACAGTTTTCTACATGTACAAAGACAGAACTAATGATGACTGTATTAAATTTTCGTATTAAGACATGGGAATAAACTAATGCATTACAGAGTGTCATGATGATTGTATTGATGACTGATTATGATAATGATGATGTTCATGATGATGGTGATGATGATGATGATGATTTGAAGATGATTTGAAGAGGATTGGAATGTGTAGATGCTTATGATGATAATAATGGTAAATATGATATGTGAGATTATTGTGATGATGAAAATATGATGTATACTGAAAATAGTTTTGATGATATGGATGATGATTGGTGATGGGGATGGTAATGATACTGATGAAAGCAATAACAATGACCAATTAATGGTGATCATGATAAAAACTACTGTGATGATGTTAGCTTTGTCTGGTTTAAAACAGAGTTCAAAAACAAACAAAAAAATATTAATTTTTAAAAACTATGTCTTTTTATAGAATACTGATGCAGAATACTGGGTGAGTGCCCACTCAGAGGAAGAGGCAAAACATAAAGCTGCCAAGAGGTTTGATGTACAAGCTAGCAATATCACATTAACTCAAGGTAGATTATAGAATCAGTGTAGGATGTACCACACCACTGAAAAGAGAGGAGAGAAACAAAGAAACTCTCTGTAAACCCAAGTCTCTCTTAGTTGCTGTCCCTTAGAATGTGTACATGAATATTTCCCTATTGTTATTGTTATTGTTTAATGTTTTTATGACAAATTTTTCCTTTTGGGTTTGTTTTACTGTTTTAATGTATTGTATATTTTATTTTGTATCTTTTATAAATACCTATATTTTCATAAAATTCTTAAGATATATTATTACAAAATAATGACATTGAAAATATATCAATTATTAAAATTTATTTTGTATTTAATTTTCTCTACAGATGAAGATGTATTGGACACTTGGTTCTCGTCAGGCCTCTTCCCATTTGCTGTACATGGATGGCCTGAAAAAGTAAGGTTAATTTAGGGGCAGATCCAGTAGGTAGGGGAGGGGCACGTTCACTCGGTTTTGCCACTAAATTTTAACAATTTAAATGCAAATCAATGTTATGTGCTACTCACTTACCTATTACCCTTAATTTTCTTTTTTTTATATGTAGACTCCTGACCTGTCACACTATTACCCGTCTACTCTACTGGAGACAGGCTATGATATACTGTTTTTCTGGGTTGCAAGAATGGTAATGCTTGGCCAGAGACTAACAGGGCAAGTCCCATTTAAGCAGGTATAATACTAAAAATTTTATATAATATGTGCCAGAGACAAGCCAAACCAGTCATTCATCACAAATATTTTTAGTTTTTTATACAGGCTTAAAGATGAAAATTAGAGTTATAAAATGGTAAAAGAATCATTTAAATCCGACATTTCCTTACGAAGTTACAAGCGTTTAAACATACAGCTGTTTAAAGAACAATAATTGAGAAATCAGCCTTCAAAGTTTATGATTTCAGGCATTTCTCAGGCAGCAACCATCACTGAATTGTTAAATATTTTTGTTTAACCACATATATAATTCTAATTTAAATTTTTATTTGCTGCTACAACCTATGGGGCTTGAGTGTGTGTTCCATATGTGCTTGATCCAGTGATCCAGGGGTAATAATGCTCAAGCGCTTCGAGGTTGTGTCAACGTGAGGCGCTATATAAATCCAGAATTATTATTATTATTAATAATAAAAAAATAAAGGCATCTGTTAATTTGAGACCACAAAAAAGTGATCTTTAACTGAAGGTGGTCTTTAATTGAAAATGTCTTTAATTAGTGGGAAACTTGTATTATATTTTACCAACATTCAGTACACCACCTCTCTTGCAGGTGTACCTTCACTCAATGGTGCGTGATGCACACGGGCGCAAGATGAGTAAATCCCTTGGAAATGTCATTGATCCAATTGATGTCATCGAAGGCATATCCCTTAATGCTTTGCAAGACCGCCTCAGAAGTGGCAACTTGAAGCATGATGACACAGAGTTAAATGTTGCCCTCAAGGGTCAGAGGGCAGACTTTCCAAACGGGATTCCAGAATGTGGGACCGATGCTCTTAGATTCGCCCTTTGTACTTATAAGGCACAAGGTATGCTTGTTTTGTTTGCAACTTATGTAGTGTTTACAATTATATTATTGTCACATACCCTTAACCCATTGTTTTGTCCTTTTTATAGGAGATGATATTAACTTGAATGTTCAACAAGTTCTAGAATACAGACATTTTTGCAACAAAATTTGGAATGCTGTCAAATTTAGCTTTATGGTTTTTGGAGATGACTTCAAACATATGAAAATGGAAGATGTAAGTGATAAAGTATACCAAATTTTTAATAGTACCTGTAGCTGGAAAAATAAAAGCTTAAGATAGTCATACAATTTTTAAATTATGTAATTTCACAACAGTGATGGTTGAACACGTGTATAAATATTCCATAGAAAGCCAAGTTTTAGTAGTTCTTTCAAGCCTTGGGTTTTATGTGGCAGTTGGAAAATATATAATTAGAATAGTAAATCAATTATTGCTGCGAAGCAGCCAATTCATATTCTTGACAGCAATTTGACCTCTGAAAGGTCATTGTTTGTCAAAAAACAGGCGCCAAAGAATACTGAAAAGCGGAGTTTCCTTCTTTCGCTCTGCCGGGTAAAATCAATTACTTTAGGCGACGTTTGTAGACTAACCTACTCGTACCAACGTCCGCATGTCGCGCTAGCCAAGCCTAGACTAGCTAGGATGTTATAGGCCTAGCCTTGAAGGGACGAAGGTCCCAATGAAAAACAACGTCGCTCCTTGATAGCTAACATTGTCTATTTAACATCACAATAATTCATTATTATACCTATAGCTGTTTTTTTAATTGTACTCCACAAATCTCAGCCGATACCTCGCACAACGTCTCGTATATATTGTCGTCACGTCATGGCTCGCTGGCTCACACTTGCGATGTCTCGCACTTGTGAACAAATAACACGCTGGCTCGCACTTTGGCAACACTCTTTGGCAGTCAACTCGCACTTTGGCTACAATCTTTGGCAGTCAACTCGCCCCTAGACAACCCGCCCTTGGAAACTTGCCCCATAAAAAAATGCACACTTCCTAGACCATGCAGTCTTCAAAATAAAAATTGTAACCTTTGGTAATTAACTACATTTTCCACATACATAGACATTTTTGAAACTTTATTTAAAAAAAACCTAAATCATAATTCACCACTATAGACACTTTTTGACAGAAATGAAAAATTACGACTTTGTTACCCAATGAGAAGTGTTTTAATATAGACAATGGGTCGCGTTTCATATTATTTGTTATATTTTTATTATTCATTATTTTCACTTGACTCGCATAAATAATTTTGTTCGAAGAACATTTATATGCAGTTGTACTTCGCAGCACTTCACTTGCAATTTGCAATTTCTAGTTTATATAATATAGAATATGCAGTTTATGATTTCCTGTGAATTATTTAAAAATTTCTTTTCAAAAGGTATGTCTCTAGAAAAATGTAGTGATGAATTGTAGCTGACTTTAAGATTATAGTAGATGACACAAAATATTTCTTGATAAATAATGAATTTCATAAAACTGCTCCTTATTCATTGCAGATAATGCAGAATAGCAGAGCAATTGATCGCTGGATCCTTTCTCAGCTCAGCCATACTGCAGAAATTTGTAATTCTGGTTTCCATGGCTACAATTTGACGGTGGTGACAACAGCATTACATCACTTCTGGTTGCAGTGTCTTTGTGACGTGTACTTGGTATGTTTAATTAGTTCCAAAACTTTCCTTCAGGATCGATAGTGTATGAGATGACAAAATAAATGAAATCTGAAATCTTCTGTGGTGGAATATGGCATGACCACAAAAATTCATTAAAAAATTAATTGCTCATTTAAATGTATTATGATGAAATAAACTAAAAAATGTAAAAGTAATATCATGTTTTTTTTATATGTTTTGCATAATTGATAGTATGATGGGCCTAAAGCCTTGGTACTGTGGTTCATAGACTCATTACTTTAAGAGTTTGTAGTCTGTTCTTCTCTTTAGCAGTTTCTACACTATATATTCTAAATAGTATTGGTGTTGTAATTATTAACATATTATCTTTTTGTTATTTCTGAAGGAAACTATTAAACCATTTATAAATGATGATAAATCAACAGCAGCTAAGGTGTCTCGCTCTGTCCTTTTCACTTGTATTGATGCTGGTCTGAGGCTTCTAAGCCCCTTCATGCCATACCTCACAGAAGAGCTTTACCAAAGGTTGCCAGGCCTAATGGACGTTTCTAGTATTTGTGTTTCCCGGTATCCAACTATTATTGAAGTAAGTTATGATCAGTTCAATTGAAATAAACACTAAAATTCAAATAGAAAAATATGGCAATAGTAGATATTGAGTAGACAACAATTATAGCATAGGCAGAAGAAAAAAAAATTCAGAAAAATGCAACTAATAATTTCTTGTATTTAATAATTAAAACTTTTCAAATATGTTTATAGCTTCCTTATAAGGATGTTCCACTTGAGGAGGATACAGATTTAATGTTGGGAGTTGCGAGGAGTATACGATCACTCAAAGTGCAATATGAAGTGAAACAAGTAAATGGTAAGATTCTTCTCCACTTATTACTGTGTGCTTTGGGATGAAGCTTTAAGAGTGGGGTATATGTTTTTGGTGTTATGTGCTGCAGGAATATCTAAGAATTAATTTTCTGTCCCAATTTGCTAAAAACTAGACCAACTGATGTTTGTGGGTGCCTGCCTTCTGATTCCTATAATATACATTCATTCTGTTTTTTATTTGTTTCTGGGTGGAAGCTCATAACTTATTTTTATCCTTTTAAACTGCCAGTTCAAACTCTTAATTGAAATTTTGAGATTTTTTCATTAATGTTGGTGTTAAGTAGGGATAATATTCTATGGAAGCTAACATTTTATTCTTTATTTTTTCACAGCTTTTGTTGTCTGCCGTACTGATGATACCCACTCTGTGCTCATGAATTATCAAGGGGATTTACAGACTTTAACTAAAGCAGCCTCAGTTGATGTTCTATTTGATGTCGCTATTCCCTCTGGATGTGCTGTGTCTACCGTATCACCATCTTGTGATGTAGCTGTGCAGTTAAAGGTTTGTGTTACAAAATAAAATGATTGTTGATTGGTCAATATATTGAAGCATTTACATCTCATTTTTTACATGGTAATTATATTATGATGACTCTTTCACTGGTTTTATTTAAACAATATTAAATATCTGATAAAATCTTTTAGCTTAATGTTAATGTGTGGACGCTGTCTTGATGTTTTCAATTTGTGTTTTTGCAGGGAGTGGTAGATATAACAAATATAACAAAGAAACTCCAAATGAAAGAGATAAAACTAAACTCACAACTTGAAAATTTGATAAAAGCAACAGAAATAAAGCATTACAATGAGAAGGTGCCTAATGAAATAAGACAGCAAAATAGTGAGAAGGTAAGAGCAATATGCAATAATTGGCAAAGACTATTACAAAAACAGCTGTTGACCAGTCCATTTGATAAACACCTGTTTTGATAATATGTGTTCACTAGTCTAGTGTATGGTGAAAAAATACTAGATATGTGTGTTTCCGTTAATATGAATAGATCTTTTTAACTTGCTGTATTTCGCACTCTTGTTTAAATTTTGATGTGGAAGTACATTATTCATTCAGGGTTTGTCAGTGCTGTAATACTTGATATCAATTGACATGTCGACAAGGACGCGAAGCCCCGCCTACAAAGTCACCGAGATTTTCTTTGCTATCAACCTTCTTTAAGAAAGAGAATTCAGGGTAGGCGGTATGCAAATGAATCATATATTCATAGTGTTAATCTATTTCATGGAACATGGCGGGGAAATTGTTGTAAAAGCCTCTGTATTTCACTCTCAAAGGAAGAGGGAAAAGCCGCATTCAGTCAACCTTGTTGTTGGCAAAGGCCAAGTCAAATGATGCGCACTGCTCGTGTAAATCTGGGTATCTATAACCAAGCATAGACATCTAGGCCTAGACTCACGTATGTTTCGCATTTAAACCAGCTGTCTAAGGAAATTAAAATGTCCGAGAAAAAGTTTTTGATCATGTGACTAAATGACACTCGCTGATTAGTCGGTTTATCTGTCAATCAAATCTCGTTGAGATGTTAATTAAATGTTAAAGGTGTTTACTTGTCTATATTTACAGATTCAGAAGCTTGTACTGGAGTTGGAAAATATCAAACGAATGTTGGAAACTTTACTGAATACTAAATCATGACGGCCAATCAAATCAGCTACTCAGCAGATCATGTGATTGGAATTCATCCTACCAAACTGTGGAGAACACGCTGTAATAACTGCTCATATTGGCCTATATCCAGTGTATGAACACTTTGCTCCATATAAAACACTAATGTAGAACACAAATGTTGAAAATCGCAATATCATTGCAAACACATGGGTTAAAAGACTATTATGCATCTGCAGCGTGATTATCACTTACACTATACTTAAAGGCAGCATGGATAAAAAATATGGTTTGATATATTGTACAACTGATTTTCTAAGACAAAAATAGTGGAAACTCAGATTGGTTAATGAGATAAATAATAATAAAATACAAATGAAATGAATACAGTAAGTAGCAACTCTGTAGACTAACGAAATGATTATTCACCTGATGAAGCTAGCTCAAGTTAGCGAAAGCTTGTGTTTCAATAAATTTCCTTAATCTAAAGAAGGTGCTACTGTACTCATTTCATTTGTATTTTATGCTACAGACTAATACGGCTCCTACTTTAATAATAATAATAATAGTTCATTCTTATATAGCGCAAGTTTCAGCAAGCTCTCAGTGCACTGTACATAAAAAACAGAATAAGTATGTCATGTTAAATTAATGAAAAAATTGATGGAAAATAAAGGTCTTTAGCTTGGTTTTAAAAGATAATGAGGTAATGTGCTAACTGGTGCCAAACAAAACACAAATGCACTTGATCAGCTATTTGCTATTAATTTACAATACATAGCAAGGATACAGACAAATATAGAAACAACTGATCATGAACTATTAATTATATTTATCAGGATAATTGGTTGATGGTTTCTGAACTTCTACTGTTTATCTTATTACTACTGTATTATATTATTATTATCAGAAATTAAACAAATAGCAGAGGCCTATATTAATCTTAATACTGTATAATATCTGCTCTGATACTAGACTCTTGATGTCAGTTTGTAGATTAACAACTGATTATAAACTATTAAATATATTTATCAGCATAATTGGTTCTTGATTTCTGATCTTCACTCACAGTAAGTTTGCATCAATTTGTGCTTAGTTTGTTATTGATGAAACAATTGTATTCTAATCAGAGATTAGACCATATAACCGAGGCCTATTATGTGCTCTGATACCAAGAACAACTTAGAGTCTTGATGTCAGTCCATTGAGTTTCCATAAGATGTTTTTGATTTAAAGCCACTGGCATGATTATATCTTTCAAACTATTATTATTGATTGAACTTAAACTTTCCAATATTGATCATTATGATTGTGGAGAGGTCAGAAAGATAGTAGGCTTATTTACTGACCTGGTGTTTCACACTGAGTTGGCCTTATGTTTCTAATGAAGTTGAAGCATTAGGTCACCTGATATTTTGGCTCAAATTAGCTTCGAAATGGCCAATGTTTTGACGAAAAGCCAGTTTTTTGGGTAACCCAGTCATTTTGACTCAAACTGAACCATGAGGTGAAACACAATGAGCCTTATAAAGTGACCAGAAAATAAAGCTGCAATATAGAGCCTTTGTATAAACTCTTGTTTCAACGAAAACTGGGTATTGAGATGGCCTGACGTTGACTTAAATATCCTCAGAGCTGAAATATAGGACCACTTCATTATTTTATTACATTATCTGTAAATGTAATTTAAACTTAATCGAAAATTTAATCAATTGTGTTTCCACCATTGTAAATAGATGGTGTGAATGTCTCGGCGGGTTTATCGCCATGCAGAATATATTTTATAAATTTGTTAAAACATTAATATTGTTTTATGTCTGATTATTTTTTGAAAAGATTAGTCACTCAATTTACGCGTTAATTACACCGTGTAACCTTGCACCCTGTGCGTTACTATTTTCGGTTCTGGTAGAGGTAGAAATGAATCAAACGCGTAGACAACGTAGAATTAACATAAATGGTACATGCTTTATTCTTGCACGGTGTACATCCACTGTGTACGATATCACGTGTTACGATACGTTACGTCTACGACTACGACTACGACTACGTTTACGTCTACGACTACGACTACGACTACGTTTACGTCTACGGTTTAAACTGAAATGCAATACAAACAAATGATCATAATAATATGAATAATAAAAGAAATAATACTATCAATAATGATAGATAATGCTAATACAGTATTAACAACAATAGAATAAAACGATAATAACTATAATACAGTAGCATTATACTGTAATAATAATTAAGGGAACGTAGAAAAGATTATCTAAGCAACACTATAAACAATACCTATGAATGAGAGCAAATGGCCTTGGCAACCTTCAATTTTAGATGTTTAGTCTAATTACCAAATGCCTTATACTGAGTAGGTAGGCCGATATTAATACGCTGTACTCTCAAATACTTCCTAAAGTTTACTTAAAAATAGTAACTATTCTATGACATATAAATATTTAACATAACAACTTAACGATAAAAATGTAAGTTCACGTAGTTAGTTGAACTCACTACAGAAAACCTTAATGGTTACTGTTCCATATGTATTTAATATGTTACCATATTCTACTAAACTTAAATCAATTATCATAGTCATTTTTACGTGAACACAGCTCAAAAGTACATCTGTCTCTTATACGTACCAAGTATACACTAGCGATTTCACAATACCAGTTTGACCTGAGTAATGTGACAATTTAGAACACCCTGCCGTATCAACAATCGTACGGACAATATAATCCAAACATGTTCACATGACAATGATTATATCAATTTAAATAGAATACCAATACATGCTATACAACATATAATAAAATAGAAAATATAAACATATAAATAAAGGTAATTCATATCTAAGGGGTGATTATTATAAATAATCATTACAGTGACATAATATACTGCAATTATTATACAGTATCAGGTCCCTGATTATATCATACTATAGTCAACAGCATCTATAAACTGCTAATAATGATGATTATGTACTAAATGAGAGTACTGATTTAATCTTATTTATTAACTAATCCTAGAACATAATTCAATATAAACTTACATCAGTTTCTTCTCCAGAACCTGTTGCATTGAATCCATGAACTGAACTGATATACTGTTTTGGTGACTATTCCAAAACAAGATAAGAAAGTCTGTTGCTAAGTGAGAATGGCAAACCTTGAATGCATAGTTGGAAGATAGAAGTTAAACTTGTGGTCTGCATAGTGTATCTTGGTCTATGCTTTAACACAGGCCTATTCTACAAACAGGGGTAGTTAATACATATAACAAAATCTGACTTAACACACCGTACACAGTGCACCCTCCTATTCGAGACCCCTTTAATTCCGAGACCACATTTTTGTGGTTACAAAGACTCAAATAACAATCTTCAACCTTTTAACACAAAGTTAGCCCTCTAATTGGAGACTAACTCCTAGACCACCCCAAATGTTCAGGTCACGAGGGTGGTCTTGCATTGGAGGGAGAACTGTATATACATCCAGTATTTTCAGAGTAAAAATCATTAAAATAACTTGAAATTTGCAGAATTAATCCATTTTCAGCCCACACAAAATAGGCTTTCCAAACAGCCTGTTCCTATGTAACACAGGGGTGTGCAGAAATCAGAAAGCAAGGAATAAATTTAGAATTTAGATTGAGGGTCAGTCCATGTGTTCATGTCAGTTGGAGTAGGTAATGAAGGGAAGAGAATATTTGTTGTGGTATATACAAACTTAAGATGGACGGTAATACAATTAGGGATATCATGCGATCTGGATACAATGTAAAACTATTCAGGGGAAGGGAATGGGCTTGATGTTATTATTAGTGGCCTACATAATTTGAAAATACATATTCAATTTAATCCAATTTCTTTTATAGCTGATTATCATCATCATCATCATTATTGTTATTATTGTTTATATTACTACTATTATATAATTATAATATTACATTAACCCTAGATAATGTACTGTACCGGAGCTTTGTATGACATTATGAGGCTTTTTATATATATTTTTCTCCAAAACATTTCCTCTTTTCTTGTATCAAAATGTACTCTGATAAAGATGATATGAGCAATGGTGCCCTCTATTGGTTTGTTGAAAAATGTCGTCTGCTCATTAATTCACACGTGCTGATGTGTTTGTTTTCGTTTGGTCTAGGCCCTACTCGCAGTTTGTTAGATAGAGGTGGGTATAGATTTAGGTAAATGGTGTCATAGAGTTCTGTTTTTATAATTAATACTAACAAAAATGTAAACTTGATCAATTTGAGCAGTCCAGAGAAAGTCAAAACCTAGGCTAGGCGCCAGTCTATCCTTCTGTAGGTAGGGCCCAGCCTAGCTAGTGTTAGCTAAAGCCCTTTCCGGCCTCTAACTCTATGGCCCAGGTCTTAGGCCTATGCTGTTTTGGATTAGCTTGGCCCTCAGCAGGTAGGCCTTGTACAGTATAGTAGGAGTCTAGCCTAAATAAAGTGGTAGTAGGTAGGTAGTAATATAGTAGTAGAGCCCAATGACCAATTTGTCTAGGCCTATCTATATACAATTATTTTCGACATAATTATTTATAAAACACAGTCAATAACAGAACTTTAAAAGGTTTAATAAACACAATTTAGCAGTTAGTTAGGGGTAGAGGTAGTAGCCTAGTAGGCCCAAGATTTCCAAACAATCATATGTAATGGGACTAGGCCTATGGGCCTACATTTGCCATACTGTTGAGTACTTTAATTCACCGACGACACATAATTAAATACTGTAGTTGAAATTTGTGTGGAAAATTGCTAGAATTGCAGAATCGTAGTTACTGCGTGATACTAGCTTTGAGAGATATTCAGGCAATGCATATTTTCTTATTTTTTCGAAATTCCTGGCAGATTTTCAGGCCTAATATTTGCATCTTGGCCTTATATTTGAAGTCTGCATTTCAATGCAAATTTGGTATGAGGAGTACAAAAAGAAGAAAAGGCTTTCTATTAAGCTACATTTATTTGCACAGTTGTTTTGAAGGTAATAAATTTTATTTTTCTTTTCATTTCAGATTGCGCAATATGGATTTAAATAAGAGTAAGAAATTGACGGTATGTAACAACATCATACTGCAATGTTTCACTAATAATAATAATGTTACACTTATACCTATGGGCCTCAAAGCGCTTCACATTAACCCATCATAGGATCAAAACACATACTGTACAGGTATGGAACATATGTTCGGCTCCCTGAGAAGAAGTCCATAATGTTGCAGTTTAATCAGTGCATTTTATGTTCAGTCCTATACAATAATGATATTAATGATTGTTGTAAACATATATTTAATTAATTTTATATTATTTCTTTTACATTACAGGGGAAAGAATGGACAGAATTGAAAAGAAAAAGTAGGTATTCTAAAGCCCTGTCTGGACTATAAAATCATAATTTTCAAGAATGTGTGATATGCCTAAATATGAACATATGCATATCATGACTATATATAGGCATACAACAGTTTTTTGTCAATGAAAAATTTATGGTGTGGACACAGTGTTAGACAAAGCAATATAATATTGACCTTTGTTTTTTTATTTTTTTTAAAAATTAAATTTAATATAGAAAAAAACTTGTCCAGTATAGTATTTAAAAAACTATTTTGATATTTCCATAGTATCCTTCTTGTTAACGTGTTCCGTCTTGTGACATTAAGCTTTCCACTGTTTATTACCACTTCGCTATGTCAAAATTACAGTGTTCCCATTTTATAGTACAGCATATCATCATGTAATAATTGAATCTGATGCCATACTACTGTTGTATTTTAAA